TGCGTGTTCGCTCGCTTTAGCTCGTCTGTTGTTCGTACTGCTGCGTGCCAGCTCGCTCTACAGCGTACCAGCTCGTTTGGGCTGCGACGGCGTATAAATAAAAGTCATTTTGCGGGCTTCTGACGAGTCTACATCTACAAGAAAAATCAATAAAATGAAGAAAAAAATGGCCCGGGAGCAGAGCTCTGCCTTGCAAAAGCTTAAGCTTTGGTTCAGCTGGAAGAAGTAGAGACGAATGATGTTTATTTATTAACGTTATGTAGCGCAGCGACGGTGGTTGGTGCTAGGTTGGTGCTAGGCAACTAATCGCAGTAAGAGAGAGCGAAAGCGAACGGCGTACGAGCTAGACTCGCAGCGTAGCGAGCAACAATTGCAATAGTTCTTGCTGCTGCGAGTGGTAGGCGAGCAACAGCGCAACAATACGCGCAATCATGCGAACGACAACGAGCTCTTGCGAGGTAAATCGTGCAGGGAACGCAGCTATAGGCAGTGACACGCGCTCCAAAGAAAAGAGGTGCGTATCGTTGCGTATACTTGCGCTAAGCCACTCGCTGTTGCTCGCATTCACTGGTTGCCACTCGTATCCGCTCGTAGGTGATAAGACCTTGCGTTTGCTTGCGATAGTTTAGAAAATTTTAAAACTAGCGAGCGGCAAACGCAGGCCTTTGCGCTAGTCTGCGTAATGAGTACGCAGTGAGCACGTTTCATTGCGCTTTATTGGGTATGACTGCCTATGTCTGCGTTCGGGCAATACGCAGCAATACGCAAGCCCAATACGCAAAGGTGTGACTGAGGCATAACGCAGGCATATGTGCTAGTCTGCGTATTGAGTACGTAGTGAGCACGTTTTATTGCGCGTTATTGGGTATGACTGCCTTTGTCTGCGTTCGGGTAATACGCAGCAATACGCAAGCCAAATACGCAAAGGTGTGACTGAGGCATTAACGAACAGTAAACGAGCTTCATATGCAACATGGCGAGCAAACTGCGTATGGAATCGTACTGCTATGAGCAACAGCGAGCTATAGCGTGGCATTATGTAACCGTAGGCAGTCTTTGTACGAGCGGCATACGAGCTACCTACGAGCTAGATACGCAATAGTGTGACTGCTACCTTCAAATTTGCTGCGTATTGCTGGGCACGGCTGCTTATTGATATACCCCGCAGAGCGCAGCTATACGAAGCAACATACGCAAAGGTGTGACTGAGGCATCACTGACTATGGCTGCGTTTCCTATACCTCTTCTGCAGCGTGATCATGACAGTCATTTCTCCCTTCCACAATGCCATTTATCTCCTCTCTATTTACTTTCCTTTTAATTTCTTCTAACTCAAATTCTGAGAGCCACTATGTGGTTTAAGTGCCCGAGGCTGGTCTGCCAAGTTCTGCTATTTTACCCTGAACATTCCTCTCTTCTGCCGGCTATTCAAGATTCTCCTCTTATATCCCCTGTTCACTGATTTACTCTCGAAGTAATACTCCACTATCACTCTGTATGAGGCTTGGTTCCATTTGTTTATCACTAACTAGATGATGACCGCGAGGAACCTGCCCGTTTACACCTACACTGCCTGTCAGAGCCTGAGAGCCTGTCACGATCAAATCTATGTTCAGTATCATTCACGTCGTTCTCTTAATTTTTGTTTATGTTTATTGTATGTTCATCGTTATTATTATTTACATTTTTTTTTGGTATTATTATTGGTATCATCATCTTCATCTTTATCATCATAATTACTGTCTGAAATGTTACCTGACATATCAATCACTACGTTATAGTTCTTGCAGTGGTGAAACAAATATTAGAAGTTTCTGTACTGCTCTGTTAATGTTAAATTAGCGAATTGGTTAATAGACTGCAAAGTGTTTTGGAACGACTTTCCCATTTCCTGTACAATCGGATATTTAACAAAACAAATCAATTTGTTTCACAAGATTTTTTTCCCTTCAGAGTTGTTATTCTTTTTAGTCATACAATCTTATATAACGATTTGATATTATGATACAATAGTAAAATATGATATATGATGATTTACTTTCACAGAGGATGAAATGGCAAAGAGGCTGACCGTAACCCAACAACAGGTAATTATTATCTTCATACAGGTATTGTTTTCTGATTTGAGGTAAACCAGTGAGGGAGTCAGCTAATGAAATGGCATTATTCCTTGTTAAGACAAACAAACTTAACAAAATTTAATGTTGTAGTGAGTTGTGATTATGATGGAGAAATGAAATTCTGCCAGAAGAAAGAAGAAAAACTCATGATGACCTTCAAAACTATGTCAGAAACTGTGCTCAATGAATTTGATATCAATATACCTGAGTAGTAAGTTAAACATAATAATTGTATGAGCTCTGAGAGACTACAATGTATTACAGCAGCGTTTTTCAACCGGGAAGCCGTGGCACCCTGGGACAGGCGCGTACGTAGGGGGGGGGGGGGGTATGTTAAAATGTTAACCCCCTGGTATAAGCCATGTCAGTATTCAGAAGCCCAAGTACATATCTGGAATGTCAAGTTCTTAGTCAGTCATGCAATGACACAATGAATTACTTTAGACCAGTCCAGAATGACAGTGTAAATGTAAAAAAGCCAGAGTGTTGTCGTCTCATCAACCCCTTTAAAGAAGTAGTTCTAGTTGTTAATTGTAATGATGTTAGTGCAAGCTGCTCGATAGCAATCTAAATACTGGTTTTCTTTGTGCTCAGGATCAAGAGAGTTTAGAACCACACAGCGATACTGCTCTCGGTAGCGGCCTGAATCCTTTAGCAGGTTTGTGTATATTGTTTTGATGGGGGGGGGGATTATTTTTAGTTAGTTTGTGTTGTTTGTTTTGTTTGCCTTCTTACCACTCGATCAATCCTTTGTGTATCGTCCATGAGATATAAAGTATATATAACAGTTGATAACAAAGAAGTGTTAATTTGTTAAAATTCCCTTTAATCAATTCTGGCTTGTTAAATGTCAGTTACATGTCATATTCTCAAAATATTAAATTCCCTATCCGATGAAAATACAACTTGATATAAACGGAAAAATGAATGAATGTAGAATACAAAAGAAGAAAAAAAGTATTTACCCTTTCATTATTGCACAAATGCAAATCAAAACCTCATTTTCTGCAACGCTCCAAATTACGGGTCAGCAGGGGTCAAACTTGCCGAAATTGCAGTGACACATAACATGTGGACCCCATCGGTTCACCTATATAGCTGAGGTAATGAGCCGTGCTTAATTAATGCAAGTTATTTAGGTCGACAACTTCCAACTTTCAAAGCTTTAAATTTGGAATTTCCAGAGAGCTAATATTCCTCTGACAGACACTACAATGGCATATAATTGATGTTATTGTAATCTTTGGGTTATAAGCTTTCCGTTGATGCATCCATTTCATTTTTCAGTTCGGATATGGTCTTTAATGATTATGATAAGAATAGTCCCGTTCGAACATTTTTAGGTGGTAGAATGATATTGCAAATGCTCCATTGTGACCAGACGCCATTTTTACAATCCAACTACTAACGTTCGCATCCATCCTGGTACACATTTAACACCTGGGCGAAGAGTGGCAGATGTATATTAATTAGAAATGTATATATATATCCTACAAATTCATATATGTATTTATTTTTTAGAATTTATCTTTGATAATGTAGAGGCTAAAGAGAAGGGTGACAAAATGCCGCATCAAATAGCAAGTCTAGTGACGAAAGTGCTTAAGGAACAGGTTCACCAAAAGGTAGAATTCTTGTTTTTATGTGGTTTAATATGTACAAGGTTTTCTACAATGCCTTTGTTTTATCCTAGAATCTTACACTTTTTTCTTCCGTGTTGTTAACAGATCTATATCCTTGTATACATAATATATCCGCGTGTAACAACAGGAGACCCAGAAATAATACATTTGTTTAGGCGAGGCGTCAAAAATATCGATACTAGCAGGCTGCCGCCTCACGTATTGGCGCATCGAGGCTGCAATTACGGCCGAAGCCTGGCTGGGGCAATTATTTTTCACTTATTAGCCCAGCCGGCTTGCGCCAGGCTGGGATCTGAGGCTCGGTTTCCATTCGAAAGGCGGCAGCCGGCGCATGCTTTTGTTCGGAGACCATTATGATGACATCATGAGTTAATTGAGGGTCCTACCGCCAGCGGTAGCCGGCTGAGCTAATTTAAAAAATGCAGCCAGGACGCACAAGTGCAGTTAGCTGCCGCTGGCTGGTTTATTTATTTTTGACGCCTCGCCTTACCTATAATTAAAATATACCTGTAAGAATAACCCTTAGTAGAATGTAATCAGTCTGTTTTTGCAAAAGCGCAATATCTTTTTGCGTGGCTAACAGAAGTTACCAGGTTCACTAGATGACTGTCTGGAAAGCGAGCGTTGTGTATTAAACATAACCTTAAATATTAATGTTAACAAAAACGTTTCTACAGAGTCGTGACTGCCAGCATACACAGATATATATACCTCTGACATAAACTTATGATAATATGTTACAGTTAAAGCTATCATCGGATTATGGTGTGTTTCCACAGAAGTGTATAACGGCAAATACTCCATTAAACCCTGGAAGATGAAAGATGAAAAGTAACAGTATTTCAAAATCCAAGAAAACAAATACATATAAACTGATCTCAATCTTGTTTGGTGTGAGGAGTGGGTGAAAATCTATGTTAGTTCCTGAGGCACATGAGAGTGAGAAAGATGTATCAAGGAAAAAAGGAAAAAGGAAAACTTGTCTTTATCGGAACAAGTTTCCATGGAGAAAAAAACAACAACTTGTGAATATATATATATAGAATAACAAATGGTTATTTACTGGATGGTTTTGCTCATACTCTTCTAAAAATGATGCTACAGTTTGTTAGATAGAAGATTTTTTAGTGGTTGTAAGTGTCTTCATGATCATTATTTTTTGTAAAATTTAGTTCTTGACAATTGTTCAGATAGATGTGTATTTATTTCTTCATTCTTCAGGAGATAGGAGCAGAAGGAGTCTCACTTAGTATATGGGATTTTGCTGGACACGACATATATTACTCAACCCATCAGGTAAAAGAACATTTTAAGTGCATTATATTCGTTGTAAATTCTACCTTGGTGCCATGAAAGGAAATTTGTAAAGTATTGTTAGATTCTGGTATTTGAAGAAAAAAAAATAATTTGTATTGACTTCAGTCTCTCATACATCCATTTTGGCTTTCATGTCCTCAATATTTGCTATTTTTCCTGCAATTTTTTTTCCGGTCAGTTTCAATGTGGATATCTCGTTCTCAAAGAAGTTACAAATGGAGACTATTATTCCATTGTCTCGATATAATGTTTCAGTTCAAGGCACATGGATCTATGTACTTTTCGTATGCACAGCTGTTGGCCTACATATGATAATAATACTTATAAAAATACGTGCAATTTATATAGCGCTTGTGACATAACAATTGCAAAGCCCTGTACTCAAATCAAGATTACTTCAAAAAAAAAAATATTACCAATGGAATTAACATTACTTAAGTTACAAATAAAATAAAATATTACTAACATAACTGAACAAATTAACATTAATTAAAGAAACAAGAAGATCATACATTATTTACATTACTAAAAAAATTATCATAAGTTATACATTCCTGGGAAGTTAACACATCATATTAATAATAGCAACAATTAAAACAACTTTTTAAACAGTTGTTACCATACGTTTTTATAGAGGTGCATTAATATGTGGTCCAGTCAAAGATGCAAATTCATGCCCAGGTTCTTAATTATGGCTTTTTTTCTATCTAATAAAGTGAAAAAAGTACTGTAAACTGCAAAAACTCTAGAACTATATCTTAATTTTGTAATATTTGTATATTCAACAGAAGTTTCTTATTCATTTGACCTGTCTTTGTCAAAGAGTTAACTAGGAATTGATGAAATGTGTGCAAGTGGTTGGTTTATCATTGCATGAGTTACGAGGTTTTGGTTAAATAAGTTACGAGGATTTGAATACACTAACTTCGGTACTGTTAGGCCGTGTGTGAGTTACGAGGAAAAGGAATTACGTATCTTATGTTACAAGGTTTTGTCAGTGCAGCTTCAAAGGGGGTTAAAGTTACGAGGTTTAGTTTAAGGGTGTTTGTGTGGAATTTGTGAAAAACCGAGAAGGAGGCGTTCCATGGATTTATCAGGTGGTGTCGTAGGCCATTAGGTACAAAATTATGCAAACAAATCAAAATCTCAAAAAATTGAGATAGGAGGTTTTGTCACCCCACCGACGATATAACAAAAGGTCCTAATTCAGCCAGTCCACCTTGCATTCACGAGTTTATACGAAAAACACAAAACCACCAAATTGAAAAGGGGTATGAATGATTTAGTTGTGAATCGTATATAAATAGTGCCTAATGTCCCTTATTATACAAATAATAGAGCATACAGAAACAACATAGCATGGTAGTTCTTAAATACTCGTGCATTATTTTTATTTCCTTCTCCTGTAGGTGTTTCTGACGTGGCGAGCTATTTATGTGATTGTCTTTGATCTCAGTAGAAGATTGGATGAAGTCGTTCCCCCTGAATCCAGAGACAAGAATTATGAAATGGTTTTTCTTTATTTTATTGTATACTGCTTGGCAAAAATAGATTATGCTTTACAGAGGATAGATAAATGTTATACAGTGTGAGTCAAATAAACATTTACACCTAGACAATCGCTAATTATTTTAAAAATCATCTATGAACAGTAAATTATAATACATCTCATAAAAGACTGTTTTATCCCAAATCATTTGGTATCATTTGTGTGTGGTATTTGTTCACGCTTGAATGAACAGCAGGCATTGTTTGCGAGAGTGCAAAAATCGACTTGCACCAAAGTTGCTGATCTGATGTTTAAATAAAACAATTGGGATTTGGGTATTAAATCGGGTTTTGAAGATCCAAATAACATCCCTAACAAAATTAATCATGCCACACATTTGTGCGCTGGTGTGTATGCGTGTGTGACTTTGCTTCTGCAAACAAAATATGCAATGCATTCCATTTGATACATTCAATTTATTCTCTCACTCCGCTAATCCCAACATAACACATGCTGTGGGCATCACTCTGGCGCAAGACGATTTTTGCACTCTAGCAAACAATGCCAACTGTTCATCCAAGCGTGACCACATACCACACAAAAATGATACCAAATGATTTGGGATAAAACACTCTTTCATAAGATGTGTAATAATTTACTGTTCATAGATGATTTTTAAAATAATCAGCAATTTTCTAGGTGTAAACTTTTTTTTTTACTCACACGGTATAGTGTTGTGTTTTCTTTTCCAAAGTTATTTGTGTAAAGTTTTACATGTTTTCATCATTCATTACTCGTATAATAAATTGTGTTAAGTATAGATATTATGATATCAATCGTTCATTTTGACTATATTTTACTGCAGATTCAACTGTCTGTTTCCGTCTGGATTAATACATCTGTAAATTGTTGGTACAATTAAATCAGTGATATATTAAACTTGTTATGCCTCCGTTACAGGCCCGGTCACACATATGGGGACGCATGGGGGACGCACGGTCAGCGCATTGGACATTTGCATTTTCTTCCAAAGCGTTGTCGTTCACTATGTGTGTGCCATCATTCGTTACTCGTTCGTCGAGCGCGCTGGACCAACGCTGGACCAACATTGTGCATTCAGCGTCAATCGATGTGTGTTTTGGGATTGTATTGAGCATGCTCAAAAGTGTGCGCGGAGCTCAACGCATGAATCTACACGCCAAAAGGACGCCAGACATGCGCGGAGCGCGCTAGACCAAAGCCAGACATACGCAGAGCAAAATCCCTGTATACGCGCAGCGCGCTAGCAACACGCTATGCATTCGGTGTCCGCTCAATAGGTTCTCCCAAATCCTTACAAAAGTCGGGCTCACGACTTTTTTCCGATTTTCAATTCGCCGGCCGTGCGTCGTATGTATCTTGCAGAGCCAATGAACTGAATAGATTATGGGGGTCATGAGGTCAAAGGTCAAATGTCACATGGCTCATTATGTATGCAAAAATAGCTCGTGATTAAATTATCGTTAGAACCGATGAAGAGATTACCATCAAACTCAAAACATGTATGTTCATGTATCTTGCAGAGCCAATGAATTAATTATATTTTAGGGTCATTGGGTAAGGGATAAAAGGATAATACATGTAGGCTATATGAAAAATAGCTTGTATTCACTATTCACGATATTCTGAGAACCTCTCAATGGATTACAATCAAACTTGATTTTCAAGAATGCTTCTGTTTAGGTTCGTAAAATGCCTCTATAACGGAGGCATCATCTTCAACTGCGCGCAGTCGAAGGTCCATCTATTTTTGTTTTACCTTTCAGAGCAGGGTGTGATATTTAGTAGTTTAAATTAATATCTGTTTAAAATTCCATCTCTGCTAGAAAATACACGCAGACCTACAAGGTTATCCTGCCAATCACGTCCACACTTGCGCATGTCATTATTAAAAAGGATAAACTTTGCAGAAAATAATTAACACTATAATAGCTGTAATGTTTTACCAATTGAATATCAAGGAGTACTGCTATTTCTCTTGATTATTTTACCATCTCCACTCGTCGTCTTTTCGTACTAATTATATCATCCCCATACTTTAATGATTTCTCTTTATGTTAATACAGCAGAAATTTCTTTTCCTAAAAACTAAATATTAAAAAAATGTTGTATACAGTAATTATGAAATTGTATAAAGGATTGCAAAGCTTCAAGCTCAGGGATATGTATGCGTTTCCCTGTTAGAATAACTACCAAGTATGGTGTTTCTGTGCGTTTTATCATTGGCCTCATCATACATATTTCTTTACAATTAAAATGCAGGTTAAAGGAGGTGCCAAATCAGAACTGACATGTTTAGAGTTCATCAATTTCTGGTTGTATTCCATCTACGCCCATGCTGTGGCGCCCTCTTCAGTCATAACTAAGAATATGTCTAAACCTGACCAGGAGTCTCCACCAATATTCATCGTTGGAACCCATCGAGAGAGTTTGAAAGGAGATGCACAAGAGAAAAAGGATCAGGTAATGGTTTGAGATATACACGGTTGTTGATAATTATTTTAAAAAAATTGTTTTCCCCAGCTGTTTTTCTCGACGGTCCTTCATTTATTAATACCCCCCCCCCCCCCCCAAAAAAAAAAAAAAAAAAAAAACAATAAAAAAATACCGAGATGTGCGCCTCTTGGATGTAATTTTGAGCCACTGCTGGGACTTCAATACTTCTGGTGTACGGTGCATGCATGCGGCATGTGCGTTGTAACACATTATGCTTGCGCATTATACGTATCTGAAAGCTCATTCGATCGTGCAGTGATTTCAAATTTGTGTTGCTTTAGCAGCAACTTTTCCAAGTCGAGTGCGCTGTAGGATTTTTTGAAAATTATACCAAGTCAAATTTCTCATTTAGGGAAATATCTGAAGTTTTTTAAAAGTATTTTGGGGGCGACCAGCACACAGCAATTTCATAGTTGCCCTTGCATCAACGACACTGACGCCAAAACGAAAAAAGATCGAACATAAGGTACCATATCCTGAGTTAAACTGAAAGCTTCTGTCTGTAGTATCGACGGTTGTTCCGCCGCGTCTGTGAATACATCTAACTAGACCGAGATGATTGAAATGTTACAATAATTTTTGTTCACTCTTTACATCTTCCTTTGTCCACTTTGGCTGCAAAAAACTGAAATATATAATTTAACTTACGATAGCTTACTCATTGTAATAGTTTATTCATTAATCTGTAATTTAAGAAAGACTTTTCGTCAACAGGAGTCGTTGATAGGTTCACAAATGTCAGTTTTATAAACGAACTCCCCATACGAGACGGTTATTTCTGTCTAACCCTGAGCCGCCATTACATTGATCGTTTGGATTCAGTTAGGAGTCAGTTTGGCAGTGGGATTAGGGTATGGCAATAAAACAGCTTGACTGTATATAACTTTGTAACATTTGGACTTACACTTTCTTGTGAAAGGAAGTTTTAAAGTAAAATTTCACCCTGATATTATTTTGGTTTTGATAGTACCAGAACATGAGAGGAAAGGATAAGTGAACAATTGAGTAATATCTCATTAAAAGGTAATATATTTTATCTGAACAAAATGTTCAGTCATACGTGCACCCTAGATGTAAACAATAATTACAAATATGTTTTACACAACCCAATTCCTCCACAAATAAGCTACAAAATAAAAAGGCATGACATTTGCACTATCAAGCAAATGGGGGAGGACCTTAAAGGATAAGTTACTGAGTTGCCAATATCTTTTTCATTGATTACAAATTTTAAATGTAATTACTTTTTTTTGTTGTTGACAGATTTTGTTCAATTCTTAATTGATTTTCTTTTTTTTTTCTCCCTTGTATTAAAACCAGATATCACGGTGGACTTTAATTGCGTTATGCTATTTCATATCAGCAGTCTTTTTTGTGTGCATATATAATCGTGTTCTTATCTCAGGTAAAGGTATGCATGCATGTTTAACATTATGACTAAGATGTGTTTCTTTTTCTGTTCATTTCACTCATTTTGTCTTCTAGATTGATTCTGCCTTTAACGAGATCCGCAAATCTATCATTGGGAAGCCGTTTCTAGGCCATGTGGTTTCCAGGTATTTTGCCATTGAAAACAGCTTAGAGGACGAAGATGAAGAGGTACATCACAATTAATCATAAACTATTATAATTCAAAGTATCCAGGTTACAAAAGAGTATTCCTGATTACCTATCCAATCCAGTTACATCCAATCCAAAATGTAAAGTTGCTTTTCCGTGCGATTACAAAGTGCTGCACAAATTGCTCCACATCTTTGGACCACTTCAAAAATAGTATATCACTTCAAAAAGTTAAGCTAATGTTGTCAATTGTTCTTTAACATAATAAAATTTACACTTTGAATCTTAGCTTGGAGCCATAGGACGAAATGTGATGGATTTTAGACCCAGTGTTTTTTGTTTGTCTTAAATATTGTCCCAATCGGTATGGCATAATATTAAATTGCTCTTTTATACAGAAAGAGCTGAAATAACCTCTGTTTATATCTGACTTTTTACAAAAGTAATAAAAGCTGCTCACTCTGAAACTTGATGTGCATTCCTTTTGACATCAAATCTCAATATGATTCTCTGATAATTCCCGAAACACTTTCATCCAAGTTCCCGATAAGTTTTTTCAGATAAATAATATTTCCTGTACTTTAATCTACTGCGCATGAACAAATTTAAATATTTAGGTAGTGCATATGTATATACAGTGCGTCCAAGAAAAAAAACGAAACCTAGAATTATCTATATTTTATCATAACTTATTCACATCTATAATTAATAAATGACATACGTTTGGAAAGCTTAGATCCTCTTCTTTAATTTGATGCCATTTATATGATACATATGTCACGCACCATTGATTAAAATGAATTTGAAGAGAGGAAGCCAAAAAATCATTTGGCGGACGGTATCTGAATTTCAAAGAGAAAATCACATTTCTAGAAAGTTGAGTTTCTGCCCTTTCATATGACACCTCACTTAGGAAAAATGAGTTAGGAATAACAAAATTCTGTTTGTGTTAAGTAGTGCTTGCATTTCCTTAGTTTTATTAAACGAATTCGTTTTCACTGGCTGTCTGCCGTAGCAACAAACGGAATTAACACAAGACTTAACTCCGTTTTGTGCAAATTCAGCCGTAAGACAGACTTAATGCATGGTTGATTGTCAACAAAACGGAGTTAAGTCTTTTGTCAATTCTGCTTGTTGCCAAGGCAGGCAGCCAGTGAAAACGAATTCGTTTGATAAAATTATGCAAATGCAAGCATCATATGAAAGGGCAGATTTTAATCACTTATGCGTGAAATATGTATTATATGAGGTGCATCAGATGAAAGAAGAGGATGTACGCTTTTTAAACATGTGTCATTTATTAATTATAAATGTGAATAAGTTATAATAAAACATCGATAATTCTCGGTTTCGTTTTTTTGGGGGGACGCACTGTATAGGGACATTTATTTTCATCCACCGTGCTTGACGAAAATTAATTATAGGCATTTACTATAAATCAACTGGCATTGATATAGAAAACTTGACACAAGCTATTAGCTTCATGCTTTATTTGCCTCTGGTAATATTACAACTGTACAAACATATTTTTTTATACGCATTGGGAAAGAGAGATATCCCTTCTTCCATTACCCATTGGCGATTCCTCTCCACATTTATGTACTACATCTGTGCAATTTGTCCGTCTCTTACTCTACAGTGATATTTTTGTGCAATAATCTTAATATTCCTGAACATGCTCAATTTAATTTATTATCGAATATTTAATGACATTGCCTTTATTTTGATAACTATTTATCCACATCTTTTAAACATTTTTCTGATTTTTGTATGATATTGCTGTGTGATGTAATCCTATAGTTTTGTTTTTATATTGCTTTTGTATTTTGAAGTTTTATTATGATATAAATATCTGATTACGTTGTTAAAAAGACAATGTCAGCCTTGAACTACATGTCACGTTAAAAAAACACGCCTATATTTACTTTCCTTTGTAGCTGGTTACGTTGAGGAGACACATTGAGAGAGTAGCGATGAAAGAGCGTTACATGGGAGAAGAGATTCCACTCAGATGGCTCTTATTTGAGAAAGTTTTAGCTGCACATGACACCAGCTACATGTCATTAGATCAGGTAGCACTGTAACGTTCATTATTGCCTTTGTCATATAATTTGCCTTTGGGTATTGTAGTGGACGAAAATTAGAGATCAATTGTATAATATGCAGTTCACATATGAACTTCAAATTTTAAAAGCCTAGTTTGGCTTTATTCCTTTGGACCTTATTATTTTTCTTTCAAATTTGCCAATTTGTGGTACCGAATTTTCTCACACATCCATTTAATATGTATTTCATTTTCAAGGAAACGTAATTTTAGTCCTTATTTCATTTCTCATAGCTACGTACATCTCTGCTGGTATTGTTGTGAATATGTAACGCTATTTTATCTAAATGCATCCATCGATGATACCGTTTCAATTATGTAAATGGCCCATTTTATGCCTGTCTCAATAAATGGATGTAGTGCCTTTGAACATCTTGGCATAAGATTCAGGCTACATGTTGCCTTCTGTAAAAGATTTGCCTCATCTCTATATTTACATTCTGTGTATGCCCTGTGTAGATTGACTGTAATGTTACTGTTATGCTATTTATCCATGATTTTGAAGCCATTGTTTGATTTCTCCCAGACCAAGAAACTGACGCAGCTAATCGGGATGGAATCGAAGAGTGAACTTCTCACGATGCTGACCTTTTACCACGACCTGGGTAATGTAGTCTTCTATGGAGGCATAAAAGACCAGCAGTCTCTCCTACAAGACATGGTGATCCTGAATCCTCAATGGCTAATTGATGTCTTCAAACGGGTCATAACAATCCTGGATCCTCAAAAGAGGGTGAGAAACCTCCTCCTTTTACAGTATTACGAAATGAATTTGGGAGTGGGCATTCAAAACTAATTGTGTACCACCAGCCTTCGGTATCTAGAGCTGATTAGCTTAAAACTGTTTAAGTGAACAGATTTAAACAGCTTTAAAGTAAATTTTCCCTGTGTGAACGTAGTTTATACGGTGTTCGGATAGATAACTTGAGATAAAACATCATTCACACACAGAACATTTCGGTGCGGTCATCCGAGATTCATTGCTCTGTCACTGCTCGTAAATCTCGTTTACAATCTGTACTCCAATGTCCAGTTATTCCAACTGCCATTAAGTTGACAATGTGTTTTAATTCCAGGATGGGATCGTGTGTGATGCTTGGAACACTCTTGAGAAGGATGGTATCTTAGAGGATAGGTTGATTCAGCATATGTGGCAAGGATTTCAGGAGCAGAAGGACGCCTTAGTCAAGCTCATGGCCAAGTTTGATCTCATCTGTGAGGCCCCTGTAGAACGACGACAGCAAAAGCAACAGGATGGAGTAGACACTGAGGTAAAATCTC